GAGTAGAGGTGTATGCAAACATACTAAATCATATTTGATAGATCGAAATGTGAACTAGACACACATATAAATAAAGCGAGTTTTGCTTATAAAAAATGTAAATGTAAAAGTAAATTTATGACTGCGATTTAAGGATATGCAAAAATAATACAAATTCTGTTCAAAAGACAGAAATGTGGCACAATATATGAATGGAAGAAATCCGAATTTTTTATTGGATCTGGAATATGAGTATAGTAGGTACATTATTTATTTTAACACAATAATATAAGATTATTTACGAGTAATATTTGTTATTTTTATTTATTTTCTGTTTTGAATGAAATTAATTTTATTATATTTTTATATTATTATTATTCTTTTATATTAAAAAAAAAATAAATAAATAAAATAAAAATATTGTACTACAAATACATCAGTTTTGTATTTGAATTATACATTAGTATATAGAGATATCAAATAAATTGCTTAAATTAAACAAATTGCATATTCCCAATTTTATTTATATATATCTCTCACAGTATACTCGATATCTTTAGATCAAGTTATTTGATATATATTATAATTTTATTTTAATTCCCGTAACATCCCTACACTCACAGACCAAGCTACCCTTTCATGCAGGTTTATGGTTAGAGCGCATGATAAGAGCAGATGATAAAAATTATGCTATAAAACGGGAGAAGCAAAGGCAATCCTCACAAACCCTGGCTGGCAATGATTGCACAGGAATACTGTTTGTTAAATATGTAACACATATTTACTAACCGCATTCATTTCATCTGTAGCACATTTATGGCCAGCACGCGATGGTGTAGCTCGATAGGGAATGCTGGAGCAATATGCTGGACGGCTGAAAGGAGAATCGGGAGAGAAATCAACAAATAAATCGAAATGTGATTATAGCAATTGTAAATGTGCATGGAAATATCATAAATATATAAAGAAATGATTTTCAATTACAGTTTATGGAAATAAACATTTCTGTACGTGTGAAGAGATTTCATTGTGAGGTTCACTAGTTGGAATATCAATTATTATAAAATTAATTTTTGAATTATTATTCTTAAAATTTGCATAGAGCTTTGAAAATCTGTCTGTCTATATGAGGTATTTCTTAATGTTAAAATTGGCAAACAAAATTTGATGAGATATTGAAAAACTTTGATTGCAATTATGTTGTTCTTTAATATATATATAAACCACATATTTCTGTCTGTTGACCAAATAAATGAAATGAATAAGAAAATGAAACAATTTCAAATTGTAATAATTTTTTAATTTAATATATATTAATTATAATAATTACTAAAACTTAGTAAAGCTCATTTGTTACATTCTGGTCTTGAATTAAATTGAACATGTGCAGATGTGTTTACAGGGCGTATGTGTAATATTTAGGTATCGAAATACAATAAGCAAAAATATATTTTACGTAATTATATATATATATAATAGATGATGAAAAGTATTTTCAAGTTACTTTATCTATATACATGTACTTGAAGCATCTCGAGTAAATGCTGCACATGCTCCAGTGCTGACAGTGCGTATACGTGATGTGTTCCAATTATCTGATTGCCGCTGCTTTCTACATAGCTACAGCTCTTACAGCTGCTGTTGCTAATGATTAGCAAACGGTTTCAGTGTAAATACATAGTCGCAACAAAGTGCTAGATGCTGCCGCAGCAATTAATAACGATTTGTCTGCTGTGCTGCTGGCAACATATGCACTCAAACAAAATGAATATATATGTTTATGTATGTGGCGTATCACTAGGCAAACATTTTAAATATTTTTAAGTCTCGATTCATGCATGCCCACTCACGCCGGAAATTGGCGCACACCTCGCAGCCATGCGGCAGTTTTTTTTTTTTTTTTTTTTTTTTTTTTGGGTTTTTGTTTTGCGCTGCGCCCCAACTTTTCATAAGCTCATGGCAACGGGAAATGACCAGGCGAGCCATTGGCCGGCAGCTGAATCCCTTACAGGTGTACCACGAATATAAAAAAAATCCTATACAGGTAGTATATACATACATATGTATATATATAGCGGCCCAGCATGCGGAAATTATAATTTATTGCATAAAGTTGCGGATGTGGGCCGCGGCTGCGATGATTTTTACCTGGACCACTTTTTCCACGCCCACAGCAGCTCTTCAAATTTGGCTGTACTTAACATTAAAGTTTTATAAAAGGCAGGCACTGGGAGCTAGCGAGCGCGAAAACCGCAAATATTTTGCATATTTGTAACTGGCCGCGGAGAGTGTTTAGCTGCCTAAGAAAACGCATTATTTGGCTTAAATATTCATGGGCCGATGTGAAAATGAGCTCGGGCATGCAAAGTGCTTTCAATAATTGTTCCTACCCTCCTGTATTTTATGACGCCTAGCGGATAGGGGCGGTCTCGTAATGATTTCCAAGAATTTTGTGGATTAATATTCAGCTGGGGTTTTGAATCTTTACATAGTTCGGTGATTCTGAGTTCAATTGTTAAAAAAAAAAGGTTCTTGGGTCTTATTTTTGTTATTCATTTTACTGGTTTTTAACATTTATATAAGCTGTAGAAGTTAAGCAGATTATTAAAATTATTAATTGAATATTTGAGCTACAAATATGATAATCATAGTACGTTTAACATCAGATACCAAAGGTTTAATGTGGAATTAATTGCCCTGATTAAATCTGTTTCTTAATATAATAATACTCTAAGTTCATTCTATTTGATGAATAAAATATCTTTTTGATGCCAATAACATTTGACATGTTTAAAAGGAGGCTAAATCAATTTATTAGTTTACTTAGAGTCAATTTTAATTCTATATATACCAAATTTTTGATACTTATGACATAAAACATGACATTCTCGACAGGTAGATATCCTGTAACGACAGCTCCTCTTTTGAGCTCACTCAATATTTCGTGTGATGGGCTGACACAAATAAAATTCTGCTGAATTGAATGCATTTTCTGATCAATTTAATTGAAATCAACATTAATTGGCAAGCACAAAAACAATGCAAACAAACGGAACTCCGAACAAAACACATATTTATTCTCAGGTCAATAATAACTCGCATATTTCATATATTGTTGTGTGGCAGAAACATAATAACACACATATATAAACACACATACACATGACACATATAATCACAGTTGCATGGCTTTTCAATAAGTTAAAAAAAAAAGAGAAAAACAGAAATAAAAGTCAGTTATAAAATATTATTTGACAAATGGCAGATTTCCCCTCAAAGAGCAGGACAAATGTACAAACAATCGCCCGTTAAATGTGAGAAACACAAAAAGTTTGAATGAGTTTGAATTTATTCATGAACGACTGAACAATCAAAATCAATTGAAAAAAAAAAAAAATAATAATAATAATAATAAAAATGCCTGGATATGCACATATGTGCACATATATATGGAGCACTGTATTTAATGCTTAATTTTATTTATTGAACACTTGAATTAAAAAAAAAAAAACAAAACAAAACAGAAGTAGAACAACAAAAGAAAACAAAAATTTTAAATCTTAAATATATAAAACGCAAATAGTAATTAAATAAATAAATCGATAGGTAAATAAATATTTGCCATTCTAATGAAATGCAAATTAAATTAAACTCAAACCACTACAGTAAATAGAAGTTTACTTGCAAATATATTTATGTTAAAAATACTTATGCAATATTAAAGTAACATATTTAGATTTGCACTTAAACCTCTTTTCATTGCTTCTGATATTAAACTATATCGGTTGTCATTAAATAATTTAAGCGACTTTTTTGCTTCGGCGACAGCTGAAAAAAGTTGGCTATAAAATAGTCCAGCTCTTCCTTCGTATGGAGTGGTGGCCACAGCGTGGAATAGGCAAAAAGCCTTGAAAGAATTGAGACAACACATAAATCTAAAGCCTATTTGAGTATCAGACAAGGGCATACATATATTACCTTCTGATGATGAACTGTTCGGATATTAAGGGCCTTTGTTCAATAAAGTTTTCCATTTCGCGACGCAACTGCGCATTGTATTTCTTTTTCGCCTGCGTGTAAACAAGCTCGCACTCCAGAGCACTGAGATGGAACCAGATTGAAATTACAAAATTCGCACTGAAATTGAAATTGGCATTTGGCTTTACTAATCGACATTCTTGATCGTATAGCTGGGATGACGGCTAACGAACAAATCATCCGAATACGACTTTTTCTTAGGCCTGCAGTCTTCACTGCTCGTTTCCTGATCCATTTCCAATGCTGAACATCTGCCGCTCGCTACATCATTAATAGATAATTTAGCTTGCTCCAAGTCTTTCTCCTTAGATCTGTTCATCCTGAGCTCGGCAGTAAAGCGCCGCAGCGTCGCTCTCCTGCCGCGATAGCTATTTCGTTCTCTGGACAAATCCTTGGATAGCAATCGCAATGGCTGTAGCGATTCATTGCAATCATTTTGATCACAGCCAAAGTTATCAGAGCCATAGCACGGCACTTTCGGGCTCAGGACATTATTGACATTGGAACTATCGCTTGAAGACATATTTCGACGGTAAGGGCATTCAAAGTGGCGAAATTTAAGATATTTCAAATTTTGTTTTTGTATATAATTGTTAATTTATTTCAATTTGATCCAATTTTCAACTTCATTCTGTTTTTGCTTTTAGTCTCAACTACTCTTTCAATGAAAATGTAACAATTGGACATTTTGGGAAGAGCTTCAATTGCCAATATCAGTACTATGTATGTATGTATGCATGTATGTATGTATGTATGTATGTATGTATGTATGTATGTATGTATCTGTAAAATCGAATTAAGTGTGCCAATGTTCATTGAGTTCCTCAGCTTTGAATTTACAATGTTCATCTGACTAAACACACAGGGACACGAGTCACTCCCTAAATTATCTAATCTGCAGAAATAACCGACATATATATACATACATACATATGGGTATATCACGTGCTGCTTCACTTGTTTCAACTTGATTCAAACGAGGACTCGAAAGGTTGAATCTTCTCAGTTAAAAACGGTTAAGCAGATTCAAACCGAGATAGAGATACGAGTGGACGTAAGCGCGCAATGTGAGTGAGTGATAAGGCACGCAATGAATAATGAAATAGTACGGTAGACAAAATGTTACCCTGATCTAGAGCTGACACTGAACTAAAAGCCCAGATGAACGTTTATTTAATTGACACAAAACTCTCTGTTCATTTGCATCGATTCAATTTAGATGCTACTTAAGGTGGAAAAGCGGGCGACAGTAGTACCAGTACCATTTTATTTTAATATAGAGGGAGGCCAAAAGCAAGCACAAATTTGGAAGAGACTAGAATGCAGCAAATTAAGAAGAGGAGGAGGACAGGCTATTATGCAGGAAATTAAGAAGAGGAAGAAGAGTCCGCCACTTCAGCTTAAATTTATTACCACAGACCACACACAGAAGGACTTACATCACCTTTCAAAATAATACGGACTAACTATCGAATGCAACGAGTTAGGGCAGTCAACCCAAATGTAGTCCAGCATAGCCTTCAAAGTGATGAACTAACTGACAGTGCGTAAAACAATTTGACCTACATCAGTCACAAAATAAATAAACAAATAATAAAAAAGCTTTCCCATTAACACTTTAATTAGTTTTTTTTTCCCCTCTTTATTAGGGTTGTTATAATATTTATTATACTCATTGTTAAAAGTCCAATCAAGTACATAATTAACAGTATCGCACACACACCGGTTAAAAATAACAAAAACAATAAGTAATAAAATAACAACTGCAATTAAGGCGAATTATGTGATTGCAATAAAGGCGAAACCGAATCAAAAGCCAATGCACACATCATGAATAATATATGTGGGTAATCTACATTAACAGTTGTTGCTCTTGCTTCATCTTAATAAATGCTTCTTTTCGCTTTCATTTGATTTTCGGCAAAAGGAAAATGTAACACAATTATGAGCCACGCACAAAAGCAGCCAAAGGAGTCTGAGTGTGCGTGTGTGTGTGCTGTAAAAACATTGCCACAAATGTTGTGCCTATTAAGGACGCATTTAACAACGCCAACGCAGCACGTGGACCAGTGAAAGCAAACGACCACATTATTATTATAATTTTCGCATAGAGCAGATCGAGAAATGCCAGAGCAGAGAGTGGAGTGTGGAGTGTGGAGTGTGGGCCAGTAATGAAGTGCTACATGTCTGTTCAATGGCAGTGGCAACATTGCCAGCATTGGCTCTTTGCTCCGTCGCTAACGGACCTTGAACCTTCAATCGAACTCTAATTGCAGCTAATGAATTACACGCATTAGGTCAACGAGCCAGCCAAGTCGAGCTTGTATAATTGGGTGTGCAGAGTGCGCCTAAGTGCCAGCTATGCTAATAGCATCTGAGTGAAATATTAATCACCTTGGCGTCTATTTTCAACACACACAGAAGCTAAGCCGGTCTAACAAAAAATAAGCTACAGTTCGCTGTTAGAAAGCAGCCAGCCAGCCAGGTAAAAACAAAAGTTTTGCTTTTAACAAACTTTAAATCCGCTCAAAACCCAAGCGAGAATCAGCTCCAATGAAAGTTTAATCAGGTTAAGAAACTGCTCGTCAAATGTGAGTAGTCAGAGCAGACTCAACTCGATTATGTCGCATTTAATAAGAGAAGAGGTGAAAAGGAGAGAGATAGAGAGGGAGAGAGAAGGAAGCCGCTTATGGATAGCTCTTTATAGTTTGTCAGTGATTTTTATTATTTATTTAAGAATTGAGGTAAATAAATACATTATGGAGCCGAAACAACAAAGTATCTACAAATGAAATTATGTTTTTGAATTATCTATGAGGCAACAAAGTTGATTGAAATATTAGTAAATTTATTCATTAGTTCTAATGAAATAGAAAAACATGATTTTGGTGCTTTAAATGAAAACACAGCAATAATTAAACGCTCTGAGTCAGTCAAAAGCTATTCAAGCATGAGCAAGGTATTGACAGCCATCTCCTAAGGTCATCAAATGGGCTGAGGGACATCATTGAAGATTCTACGACAAGGACAAGGCTAAATCTCTTATTCAAAAACATACAAACATACAAACATCATTCTATTTATTTTATTCACACTCGAATTAGAGACTAAGCATATGACAACAAATTTAATTTGCCCAAAAAGCTGACCGCAACTCTGGTAGGCAAATCCCAAATGTCAGTTTATTGTGATGAAAGCCACGGCCCAAATGTTTGACATTATCAAAAAATTCATTTTATTACACGCGTCGTCCCAGCATTAATTATAGATTCCAGCACGTAGCGCGTATTAAGTGCATGCGGCCCGCAAATACCATCAAATGTGGTTAATTTGCCAAGCCAAAACAACAAACAGCTAGATAAATGGGGCGACATTTGTGTTTGAACTTGGATTTTGCTCTCGATTTGGCAGCCCAAAAGTCTACAGAGATTTGAAGACAATACAGAGAATTGGGGATTGTCTTTGGAATACCTTCGACGAGTCCAATCGATATATTGATTTGCTTCAATTTTAATTTGTCAGCGCACATTTTAATTTTCTATGCTTCTTTACACATCTCAAATTATAATGCTAAAATATGCACCCCACGTTCACAATAGGAAATTTTCACATATGCTGAAAAAAACTCATATTAAACAAGTAAGAACGTTGCAGTCGGGCGTTACCGACTGCGGAATACTCATTCACATCCCATCAACAATTTAGTAGTTAAGTTTCGCTCTGATACTGTAGAATATACAGGTTTTTCCGATTTGCCACGCCCCAACTGGGCGTAGACACCTCATTTTTGGTCAGTTTTTAGAAAGAGATAACGGTACCCTAACTGCAAAGTTTGAATGCTTACCCTCAAGAAATGTGAAAATTACAGGGTATTTTTCGATATGCCACGCCCCTATAGAGGCGTAAAAATTATTTTTGGGGAATCGATAGAGAAGCCTACCAGTAACTCAACTATCCAAATTTGAAGCTTCTAGCTATTATACTTTTGGAGATATAAACTTTTGCGGTTTGCCACGCCCCCTGTGGGCGGACATATATCCGACAAAACTTTTTGGTCTTGGGTGATCAGTCCGAGTATATATACAAAATTTGAGGTCTCTGCCATCAATAGTGTCCAAAATATAGGAGAATTTAAAAAATCACTATATCTTCAGGTCCGATTTGCCACGCCCCCAATAGGCGTAGACTTATAATTTATCTTTAGACTTTATAGAATCATACCATTAGCTGACGTGCAAAATTTCAGTATTCTAGGTTGACAACTTTAGGAGATACAGTTTTATCCGATTTGCCACGCCCCCAATGGGCGTAGATATATCCGCCATAGCTTGTGATCTTGGGTGGTCAACGCGGACCTACATACCAAATTTCAGCTTTCTAGCTCTTCAACAAACATGATTTCTGGTATATCGGAAAATGCATTTTCCGATTTGCCACGCCCCTAGTGGGCGGATCGGGAAAATTTTAACACTTTATAAATCGGAGATATACACGAGTATGTGTTCCAAATTTCAAGTCTCTAGCTTCAATAGCGCCGAAATAGATTGCGTTCATACGGACAGACGGACAGACGGACAGACGGACGGACGGACAGACGGACAGACGGACAGACGGACAGACGGACGGACAGCAAGACGGACATTGCACAAAACCAATATACTGATTCACTTTCGTGAATGAGTATAAAAATCTGAAAAAAGGAAAACCATTATAAATAATTAAAAATTACGAATTAAAAATGAAGATTTAATATGTAAATGATATGTTAATGGTAAATTAACAACCAGATGTTGGGTATTACGCTGATTAAGAGGCAGATTTTCATTTACACTGAAGCGCAAGGCTTAACAGGGATTATTTATTTTAATACTCGCTCATGAGTTGAAATGAATATATTGATTTGAGGGACTGTTGTTTGGTCTGTGTAGGCGCAATGCATTTTGTCACAATTGAAGCTAGAAATTCGGAATTGCGAACTTTTGTTTCCCATTTCGACAACTCTAACAGCTACTGTAGACCCCTCTCTTCAGATTAACTAAAAAGTATATATTCCTTAATTACCATTGGTTGTCGAGTCGCATCATCCCATTCCTTTCAACATGCATTGCAAAGTATACTCATTTATTCAAACTTTACGGTTAAGACCATCTGATATCATCTCACCAATTTTCCCAACTTGAGCGGAAAGCCAAATGGATTCTGTGACAGCATTTTGTCATGGTCAGCATTTAATTTATTTGCGAACTACTAGCTAAAAGCAGGTCACCTTGGAGCTAGCCTCCTGGCATTGAGTCTCTATTGCTTTACAAGCAATTAATTTCAACTATTGCAGCTATTGCTCAAGTCCGAGTCAACATATTTTATTAAAATGAAGTCCCACAATTTCATCTCAAGCATATGTGATGCCTAGCAAAACTTCTTCACAAACTTTGACGGGTGAAGAGCCAGAAATGCAAATGACGAGCTCAACAACAGCAAAACTTCAGCATCAAATGTTAGATGGCTTGTAAAATGTTAGGGTGTTTCAGAAAATGCATATATCTACAAGAGAGCAAACGAATTTTTCATAAAAAAAAAAATAAATAGCTTTTAAAAGGAATAATATATGGAGAAGATGGTTTGCCCTATATGCATAAAGGGGAAAACAGTTTGCAATTTCCATTTTTATTTGCATAGAAATTTTACTATTTATTAGCAAAAGTTTCGAAATATTCGTTGCTATAATGTTAAGTAAAATAAATACATCGATATAAACAGACATTTGCTCTGTAATAAATTTTGTCTTATATGCGGCAAAATATGAAGAGAATACATCACCCTTAGAGTTATCTCATATTAGATTAATACAAAAATATATATATATTTTTTAAATTGTGTATCTAAATTGAAGAATATTTCTTATCAAAACAAAAAATAATTTATTTTATTAATTTAATAATAATTTATATTGAACATAAAGTGAGATAATAAATGAACACTTTGTGGAAAATTGGTTTTATATCCATCTATATCAAATACACTCATGTTTTATGATCTAAATACTTTTTCAAACAACATCAACATCAATAATAAGAGTTTCCGTATATAAGAACAGCCCCCTGAAAACAAAAGTTTTCATCAGGTTAATTCAATTTCGAATCATAAGCAAATTTTGCGCAAATTAAATGCGTAAAGTTTTGCAATTGCAATAAATTCTCACAAATGTCCTTGTGTAAGCGTCTTTGATTGTCATTGTAATGTTTATGCAGTGAAGGGAAGATAGAGCTGCCATCTTATGTTCGTGTCCTGTCGCTCTTGTTCCCATTCCCGTTACTCGCTCTCGTCTGGCTGCACTCCGTCATCAGGCAAGCGTAACATAAAGCCGATTTTTTCGGCTGGAAAATGCCGAGCGAGATAATAAATCTTGAGCTGGCGAAACAAATCACAGCAATTCCATTATGTACATTTAATGATGTTGAGCGACGGCAAAGCCCAACAAAAGCCCGCGTCCAAAATCCAAAATCCAAATCCATATCCAAAGCAACGAAGCAGTGACAATTACTTGCAGGCCGCGAGCAATTTGTATGGCTGCTGCAACACGGGGGCCCAACTTGTTAGAAATAATCACAAGAAA